ATCAAAGCATCTAAAACCATAGGCCCACATTCGCGTAAATTCACCTCATATGATTGCATAAAAGGTTTTTCTCCAGCATTTTCAGGATTCCAGCGGTAGATTTGGAAAGTTTTCATCTGAGGAGCCCGCGCTTCTTTGGCTTGGGCCTGCTGATCCAGCTGATTACCAGAGGTCAGAGAACGCAACTGAAAGCATATAAGAGAGTCATTGCAAAATGAATACAAGTGAATATGTCTGTATGCATGAGTTTGGTATTTTTGCTATATTTTATATAATCATCAAAATCAACGATAATTTTTCATATTAAGATATTTACTATTCATTATAAAATAATTCTTAATTTCGAGTTGTATGCTTATGTAAGAGTATTTCACCACAATAATTTTTCGCCTCTTAATTTTCACAACCAACCTGCGGACGCGTAGCGGCTACTACTGCCGAGCGGCTTAAAATTAAACGTGCCTCGTTTACCAACATTTCTGCTTTTCTTCTACGAATTGACGATAAGAAAACTTATTTATTTACTATAAATTGCCACAAATTTTCAATTGAAACGTCACTGCGTTTGCAATTTTTTAATAAAATAAAAACCCACACAACAAATTTTTGCCGTCTGCTAAGCAATGAAATTGTTTATTCAATTACTCTCAATGCAAAATACAAGCACTCAGTGAGAAATTGTGTTTTGACAACGTATCACGACCAGTACTGCAAACCATATGTTAATTTAAGACAGACTTGTTTTAGTCTCTATTTACGATGCGTCGTTGCATTTTATTTGTGGTCTCTTTGAGTGCAAGGTTGCATATCAATAAGGTTTGTATATTCAATATTAGTCACCATTTTCACTTTTTAGCATTCAGTTGGTTTGTGTCCAAAATGTATACAAAAGGATTTTAGTATTCATTCGACAGTAAAACTTCTTTACCAACGTTGTCTAAGTACATTTATTAAATGGTATACATCTTGCAGTTAATAATTCATTGAAAAATGCTTTTCTTAATGAAAAAGTAGTCTATTTGCCCATTTACTCCATATATACAAAAGTAAAAGTTCCTTATATTAATTAAAGGTATAAAAACATACATTTATTAATAAATAATATTGTAAAATAAAAGAAATTAAGAAATTTTATATGAAAACATACATTTATAAAAAAGAATAAAGAAACATTAGATACTAAATAAATTGTAGAATTTGTAAAATTCAACAAATTAATAAATTTTATATGAAAACGTACATTAATTAATAAAAAATAAATAAACATTAGTTACTAAATATCCCAAAGTTTTCCTGTTACTTAACAGAATCGAATCCCTTTTGTCGGTAAAGTTGGGTATTTGGTCTGTTATTGAACAGAATCGAATCCCTTTTGTCGATTAAGTTGGGTCTATAACATTAGCTGCTTGGCGTTACCATTTTTGTTAAGTTGGGCATTTAACCATTTATTTATTAAAAGCGACTCTGTGCTTTCAACAGGGAAGTTAACCATTTATTTGTGGCGCCTACCACGATACTCAAGGGTGGAAAACCGTGCCTATATGCTTAATTTATCTTGCTCCGTTATAAAATTAATTTAATGTGCAAAGCAGTTGTAGGAATTGAATAATTGCGAAAAAAATGAAAGAAAAGAAACTCAAAAATATTAATCGAGTGAAAAATTAAGAAAAATTGAAAATATTTCAAATAAAAAGAGCGTTTGTATATAAAATCATTATCTTAGATCTATTTTCATAATAAAATTCCATAACACTATATATGACAGGGAATTGAAAAAATCCTCCAGTCAAAATAATAATGTTTAATAACGTTTAATAAGGTTTCGATGTTTAACTCTGCTTATATTTGACATGTTTAAGAATGTTGAAGAATGCTTAATAATGTTTAATAAGGTTTTGGTATTGAGATATAAAAGCATATTGCAAACAGAATATGTTGCGTAAATTTATTTAAATCTATAAATATAATGTTTGGGCGGTAGAGGAAACCGTGAATACGGAATGGTAATTTATATGGGATTATAGGGGATACATTCCTAGGTGACAAAATAAAAAAAAATCAAATATATAAAAAAATCAATTTAATTGAATGTGAATGTGCATTTAGCTCAATTTGATTTGTTAAGCGCGTCTCAAAGAGAGAAGGAAAAAGATGGTTTTTTATCTTTATATTTCAGCATCAAGTTTTTCACTCAAGCCACTTGTAAATGTGTATGTGAAAATTAACCAAAGATATCCAAAAATTTGTAAAAATTAACCAAAAATATACAAAAAATTGTAAAAATCGAACGGCAGGTCTCTAAAAATGGACAAAAACTAGTCACAATATGTTTGAGAGAAAATAAATATGTTTTTTGATACAAATTTAAAAAATTCTTACCAAGAAATTGTCATTTTGTTTATCAAGCATCAAGTTTTCCACTCAAACCAGTTTTAAATGTATATGTAAACATTAATCAAAGATATCTAAAAATTTGTAAAAATTAACCAAAAATCGACATGCGTCGATTTGTAAACATTCACAACTTGTTCTTGTTCATTCTTGGTGTACGATGCTTGTTCATGATACGATACTTTTATCGTATTGATGTATACAATAGCAGGGATGTTTGGTGTAAGCCGCACGTGCTAAGAAAGACATTTTTTTTTTTATTGATTATCATTACATTTTAGAGCCCTGCCGGCGAAATATGATAAAATAAAGGAAATGATTCAAGATTCTAAAGATGGCCAACAAATAGTACGAATCATTGCTAGTCGAGGTAACAATCTCGACGAAGTTGAAACGGCCGATACGGAAACTGAGAATTTTCTGGGTAAATGGAATAAATTCTAATATCATAAATGACGACTTCTTTTTATCGTTTGATAATGTTTGTAGTAGTAACTATGCCCACAATATTCAGAAAAAACGTTTGGGTTAAACGAGGCGATGTCATTCTAGTGAAACCAAGCGAAGAGGGCGATAAAGTTAAAGCAGAAAGTTGTAAGATCTTAACAGCCGAACATATCAAGGAATACAATGCTGGCATTTGGCCGGAAAGCTTTAAGAGGGACGATAATGTTCCGAATGGACGTTGCGCAAGTAATTATGTGAAAGAAAGTTGCGATGAAAACGTAGAGGACTTCGAAGAAAAATTCAGTGAACCCTGTCATTTCATCTCCGAATAGAAATCGCCCAAGCCTTTTAGCAGGGTTTGAAGCAATGAAAGTACAAGTTCAGAAGATGACAGCTAACTTAAATGCTTACCAATTTAGATAGAAAAATGTGCAGATTAGGTATTTTTAATATCTACCATGTAACTCGGTCACATAGTTTTATAGAACTTGACAAATATCAACTGTTTTATAGTTGAACAACTGATTCTGACAAGAAGGATCTAGGTGTACTTATAGTAATTTTATTTATTCTCTTACGTGGAAGTAATCTCAGCTGAACTCTGATCATTTAATCTATTGTTGAAAGAAACGGAGAAAAGTGAAGAACTATATCGTTGTTACAACTTTCGAGTTGTAAAATGCTTTGCAATGGCTAATGCAACAACAACAAGTATGTATAAGAATACAAGTATGGCGACACACATACTTGTTGTTGTTGTATACCGCGACTACGAGTCAGATGTTCAATAAGCATAGTTTTTTTTTTTTGCAACAAAAAAAAGGGATATTCCAATATGAGGGACAGACAAATTCAAGATCTTATCGAAAGCAAAAAATTTAGATCTATTAAATAATGGTGACCCTATGGATTTTGGTTCTACCTCTTCCTGTATACAACTTTCGATCTGTACTTACTTTTAGTTCCCTAAGCGCTTGGAACACTCTTAACGATGCTTTAAGTAAATCTCATTTGCCAACTGAAATTGGTCTTCACTTCCACTCCACCGTTCGCAGCTTTTCATATACCTGGATTTCAAAATGTATCAAATCCTCTTTGCTTAGCACCACTATATATGAAACACCATCCATCTTAACGGTGCTCTTTTTTTGATAATTTCTACAAGACCTGAGCTATGGAGGGGGTTAGTATACTGACTGAGAAAGGTGCCAATTTCAGACATATTCCCTACAATTCAGCTGTTGACATTATTATCGTTAAAACCATGAATCTTACACCGAATCTTTTCATAGCCTCATCCTACTTTCCACCAAATGAGATTTAAACATTATGTGACTTTCTTGAGAGTGAACAAAACGTCATACTAACTGGAGATTTCAATGAATTTTGACATTGCTTGTACGCCGATCAGCTCTTGATCAACAAAAAAAAATTCATATATGTATATATATATATATATGTGAATAAATAATTTGTGTTTTCTGAAAAAAACAAAAAAAAAAAAAATTTGTATGTTTTCTTTATAATGTTGTAGGTGTGACACATATCTACACATTCCCATTGTACATACGATGTCTATGTAGTTGTACTTGTACATGTCTACATATACATTATTATTATTAATTTCGCCAGACAAATAAATTCGAAGACTAAGCTCTTAAAAGCACTAGGCATCTAAGTCTATCGGCTTTTATAAAAAACCTTACCGCACTTGAGATTCGAACCCACGACCATTCACTTGCTAGTCGAGATTCCTCGCCTTCGGCTACTCAGGCGGATGTTTGCATATATAAAATACAATCTGAATTCTCTATATTGCATATTTGCGCACGCGCTTATCGTTTGCAAAAAAAAAAAAAAAAAACAATATGTAAACATGTGTAAGTGCAACTATATAGTATGTATAGCGAAAGGCACGCACATATTCACAGCTGAATAGTATTTGAAAAAATAACAGAAACCAATTTGTATAAATCGTAGTAAGTTCGTTGTCTGATTTTAAGAATACGTGGCTCATCCGGTTGAGTGGCCGAAGGCGAGGGATTTTTCGACTAGCAACTCTCAATGGTCGTGGGTTCGAATCTCAAGTGCGGTAGAAGAGTTTTTAATATAAAGCTTAAGCGAATTTGATATGTGTACATATTGAGGATACTCACATCGATAATGACTTAGTTAATTGAACAAATGGAGCGGGCGTTGCGCTGGTTGCCAGCCTCTCTGCCATTAAGTCACGTATTACGTTTCATACCAGATGGGGCACGCAAGGAGACCATATGCCCAAACAATGCGCAACCGCCTCGAGACTTAAATTCACGAATAAACGTCGTAGCTCTATCATGCCGTCATCAAAGCACCACTCCGACTGGCAGCAAAATAGATGAAGATGAATACGTTGGCTCCGAATCAGAAGACAAGCGATTACTCTTGGACAACCGAAGAGTTTAGTTCCACATTCGTTACGCGCAGGTACTCGAATTCCAGTAGGAATGTGGGGGCATTCAGAAATGAGAAACCATTTGCTTGTCTCCAGTTCCGGGATGCGAAAAACGTTACGATGATGTGAATGGAAATAAGGTTATCACTCGGAAAAGGGGCAGAAGAGAATAATGGAACGAAAAACGTTATGTGTACTACTAACATGAGAAAGGGAGAGCAAGTTTTAAACAGCACACAATTCATGTGAATCAGATTGATTATCACTTGGGCCTTATAACATTCCTGCAATTTGCACTAATAGATTTAAATGTCGGCTCGATTTACGGCCTGGTAAAAACAATAATTGAATTGAATCGATTCCTCAAGCCTGATAGTAGGAACTGTTTATTCGCTTCTGTTGGAGTAACGCGACTGCAACTTAATGAAAATCCATGTCAGTTCCATAAGCTTGATGTAAGAAATCATAAGTAAAACATAACATAACGTACACACACTGCATAGAGCAGAATAGAGTGAAGACACAAATACAATGATGTCCTATGAAAACTTTGCAAGGAAACATGTCAACCCTTTAGAAGATAATATGCGGTCGGTGTAAAATGGTAAAAGTCGCTTTAGATGATAAACTGGGTTTCCATTTACTTGCCTCACTTCGGATTGCAAAACATCTCTTCTAAAGGTCGAGTTTAAAAGAAAAAATGAGTGAAACTGTTGAATCGATGCCGGGAATTGAGTTAAGTTCTGTGTTTGGAGAGTCTGTGGCAGCCATTCGAACTTCTGTTTCTGCAATATTGCCATAGTAACTGTCAACTGGTGGACATCATGGGAGAGTAAATGCGCTACGAGACGCGAAAAGACGAGTTAGTAGCGCATACATTTTGGAATTATTAACTGCGTCTTGTAGCTTTATGATATTTTTGACACCTTCTGGTGTAACCACCATCGCGATCGGTATTATACCGGTGTCCGTACGATCGTTCGTTTAATATCACTGGTTCATCGGTAAGAAGGAGAAGAATTGTCCTAAAACTTTTCAAGCTAACGCTCAGCTCGTAAGGCATTTCTTCCCAATGGAAAGTGTGGGAGTTACCGAAAAGCACAAAGTTCGGTTTTTTTATTCTTCGGAAAATAAGCGTCAGATTTGATTAAATAATACAAACCATAAAAAGCGTTGATATGTCGTCCGAGTTATCTTTCAAGATGTCTTTCGCTGTGCTATCTAATTACAAGTTGAAGGATTTTCTTTTTCCCTCTATACTCACTGCGTCATGTGTAGATAGAATAAAACAGGATTAAACGATGAGCATCGACGATTCGACTTGAACGTGGCTATAATTATTTCATTTGTAATTTGCTGAAATCCATCAAGTTGCCTTTCTCGTTCAACATCGTCTAGTGGCCGTCAAGTCAGTCAACAACAGCCGAGTGCATGTGAATGATGACAGGAAGTACTTGAGCACACGAGCATGATATGATGCAATGGAAAAAGTTACGGCAACGTAATCTAAGTAATGAAACGCATCAGCAAATCTTCTTGGGCTCATTTCTTTTTTGAAGCAATTTGATGATGAATTTGCAGGATTGCATGCAAACTAGTTCTTGTTATCTTATTGTCTTCCGTAAACGAAAGCATACGCTTGCACATTAAATTATTTACGTACGTGTATCCAAATAGTTATTTATGTTCAAATGTGAACGAAATCTTATGAAAAATAATTTGAAAACTTGTATTTGCTTGAGAGCAACTCAGACATAATCAGAGATGCTTGGCACACATTTTGAGAAAATGTGTAAAAATAATAAATTTTTATGTTAGTTAAGGGCATGTCGATGTTTGTTCCGTTTTTTAATCCAAGTTTTAGGAAAGAAATTCGTAGGTAATAACAACAATTGTTATTGTATTTTGCTACTTAAGGTGAAAGTCGTGTCTTTTCGCCCTTGGCCTTATTATCTAAAGCAAGGGTATAAAATGATTTTTTACATTTTGTGCCGAGGATTTCGATCGGCTGTATGCGAGCTGTCCTCACAAGAAATTCATAATATTTCTTGGTATACTTCTGGATGGAGTTCTATTTGGTTACAGCAAACAGATTGATTTCTGTGTTCATATATAAATTTTTTAATTAAGAATCGTAAATGAACTTCGCAAGGGTTTGCTCCTCTCAGCAAAGATAGTTTACATTATTGTTTGAGAATATCTTAGATTCAAGTACTAATTACACTTTGGGATGAGAAAGGTATGGATTGTTGTGGAAGTCTGGTGTCGCTGGCTGTCCGATCAAGAAGAAGAAAACAAAACGGAAGGAGTCTGTCCATTGACTCGAGCCACATTGTAAGTCGCGTGGTATGCATTTCTTGCAAGGTTGTCTCTGCCAGTCGTGCCGTATCTTAATTTCGAAACGAATGTTATGCGACGTTAAGACCAGCAACGACTTCGGATCCTCACAGTATATGCAATAGTTGTTTGCATGTATTTTGATCAGCCACATCTATTCGTGAAAATGTTAAAATAATGCGAAGTGCCAATGTAAACAGCAATGGTTTTGACATTATTTTTACATAAAATAACGATAGAGTTATTCAGTGTAGGCCGACGCTGACCATCGAACGCTTAAAATTGCATATTCGACATTCATGCTACATCCTGTCCGTTTTGCAACATCCGATTAGCGTCGACCTCAATTTGATACCTATATCCATTTTCAAAATTTTAAGGATTTTAGCAAAAAAATCATTTAAACTACATTGTAGTTAAGAGAATGACGATAGGATTTTTAGGAAGTGATCGGGAAGTGTTTGAATTAAAAATTTCAATTTTCTTTTCTTTTTTTTTTTTTTTTATTAATAGAAAATTAATTTACCAAGAATATTCTACGTATTCTAGTCTAGAAATGTC